AGTCAGGCCCGATCTGACAGAAGCCTGGAAGTGAGTGCGCGAGGTGGTTATAAAAGGCTCCCTACCTCCCAAGAACGAGGTATGCAAACTTTGCGCTATCTGGTTTATCTTGCCTTTGAAGGATTCTAACTTGAGCTTCGGAGCCTCTACATCGGGTTCTCCCCGGAGTTTCTTCATCTCCCCCATTTCAGGTCCCCAGTTATTCAATTCAGAGACAAGGTCATTGACAGCTAAGACCGACCGGATTGCGCATCATCAGTACTCTTTCCAAATAGAGCATTAGGGTCAACTGCCTTAACCTAATTTAGATTGCAGTTGGATTTGTTATGGAATTTGCTCATCAATTGATGCATCCATTCCCTTCTTATTTTTTGTTCATGTAAATTAATTATTCTATACTTCATGTTCATACACATACTCTTTTTTTTTTTTCTTTAAGCTCAAATTGGGAAGAGCACTACAGTGTAAAACCTTGTATTTTGTATTACTTTGTATTTTTAAACCTTCTGTACTCTTTCCAAACCAAGTCTTAGGCTCCATTTGTCTCCAATGCAAATTCATTTACACTAGTTAAATTGCATAGGAGTGCAAATTTTGGTTTTATTTGCTTCCAAGTGTCAATTTACTCTATTTTAGGCTTTATTTCTTCATTTGCTCTCTAAATTAATGAATGGAAGTAAAACCTAAAGCAAAAGTAAACCAGAATTTGCCATCAAATCATTTGCACTCTCAGGCTTTTGCCTCAGTACAAATGAAATTGCACTGGAAACAAACTAAGCCTTACTTGGGGGAAGTTTTGAGTTAACTCCATTTTAACAAGAGTATCTGCAATGGTGACCCAGGTCTTAGGGAACATAATAGCACCAGTGAAATCAGGATGGACTGGCAACATGCCAGATACGTGGCTCGATTTCAAGAATGTCAATGGCCTAATCCTTGATGGATCAGGAAAATTTGATGGACAGGGTTCTTCTTGGTGGAAATATGTAAAATAATTTTTTCTCACATTTATTTCATCCTCTCCTTTCTATACCCACATATTTTCTTTTTCTTCATGCTAATTTCAGCCTAATATTCTTTATTTTTTCAGGATTCAAATGGCCATCTACCTACGGTATATATGATCCTCTTCTCTATACATTTATGGCGCCTCATATATCTGGTTTTTCCTTTTTCTTCTAAATACTGAGTTTATATCTGTTTCTTCTTGATGGAAGGCTCTTGGATTCCATGGTTGTAATGGGCTTCAGCTAAGTGGGTTGTATCATGTTAACAGCCCAAAAAATCATATCACCATAAATAATTGTGATGGCGTAACCATCTCCTATCTCAATATAATAGCCCCTAAGTACAGCCCTAACACAGATGGTATTGACATTTCATACTCAAAAAACATTCAGATACAACACTCAAAAATTGCAACTGGTAAGTGGTAAACTGCTACTCTTTTTCCCCTTCTTTTCTTTCTATTAGAGTCCTGACCTTTCCCCTATTAGCTTTTTATATATGAACGAAAGTTCAAATTTTAAAACGTATCAATCGATACATATTGTATCATATTGGAAGCTTTCTGATACGTCTCTATAGAGAGTGTTTTGGGTCAGATTAGGGAGGGACAACGAGTTGAGCTTTTCACGAGCTGCTCGAACAGTCGATACATATTCTTGGAGTAGAGATATTACTTGGCAGATTTAGGGAAAAACTAATGTTGGACCAGTAGAAGGATGTTTGTTGGATCGTCTAATATACAAGAACTTTAAAGCATCTTATTGTTGGTTTCAAAAGCAAAAAAATTTCTTAATTACATCAAACTAAAAATATTTACACCCTGTTTGGCTATGTTTTAAGGAAGTGTTTTTGTTTTTGTTTTTTTTTTTTTATGATATGGCATTTATTCAAAACAAGAAAAACAAAAACATTCATATGCAGAACAACTAATTCCAACTATAGTTGCAAATAAATAAATGGTCGACAAATTGATGGGATTTTTACTGATACTGACTAGAATGACTAGCAAACTGTTGGGATTTGCTGGTACAGTTTTCTCTTTTATAATGGACCAAGCATCTACACTACAAGAAAAACCGGCTAAGCCGGCGGTTTAAAAAAGCACCGGCTTAGATGTGTCTAGGCCTGCGTTTTAATCAATATTGCCGTCTATTAGTTAAATAAAGCAAAAGGCCAATTTGGACCGGCGGTTTTATAAATTAAACCGGTCATAACCCAATACGGAACCGGTTCAAAATTACAAAAATTTTGAAAATGGGGCCGCTAATATTGTTTCGTGACTTGATTAGACGCAGAGTTCCCGCATTTCCTTCTTCAACGTGAGGGAGTCTGCAGTACCTCCTTCCTTATATTTGGAGTTTCCCCTTCGAGCTTAGTATTCTTCCTATTCTTGGAGTTAATTTCCTAATCGAATTGGATTACACATTCCGAGTTCGTCTCTGCCCTTTCTCTTCTAGTTTCTTGATAAACACAAACCTTGAGTTCCCCTTAATCCCAAAGCTTTAGGGTTTTGAATTCTTTGATGATAAATAGGGTTCTGATCGAAGAAAGAGAAGAAAGGGGTTAGCATCATCCTGACTTGGAGCATCCGATTGATATACTTCAACCGATTGGAGGATAAGTTTATTGAAGGAAAAAGCTGCTCCATTCATACCACTTCAACGGCACAGCAAGGTATGGTGCATTCGTTATTTTCATTTTGATAGTCTAGTTTAGTCTATGTGAGTTGTGGTTGATTTTGAGCTTCATCAAAGCCTGAAGGGGTTTTCGTGGAGATTTACGGTTTAGTAGAGCAGAAAGTCAACACGATGAAGAAGTGTAAGAGAAGGAAGGAAGATATTGCAGAGGATTTCTGCTTCATCTGCGAGGATGGGGGATTCCCTATTATCTGTGATCATAAGTGAGCCTTAAAGCATCGCATTTTGATCTTTCTAATGACTTACGATTTTATCATATTGGATGCATTAACAATTTTGTTGTTTTCTTTCTTTAGTTGGGGTTCTGCATGCTGGGTGTTAAAATTTATTCTCATGTTTTCTACTCTCGTTTTAGTGTTAATTTTTCATTTTCCTTTTCGTCGTAATTTTTGTTTGTCCATCCTACTTATCAAAGCTCAGAAGTCGGGCTGGCAAGCATGAGAACACAGGTTCAAGTCCGAGGGCAGCTACTTTGTGCGAAAAAAATGACAAAGGTTAAGACCATACCGAGTCTACCCCCGCCAAGAACCCAGATGGCTGGGACCAACATTGAGTAATGGCCTTAATGTCTTGTACAATGTTTGACTGTATAGCTTTGGGGTCTATTTTGCCCCTTTAATGAAATCACTTTACCTTCAAAAAATAATTTCGTATTCTGTATCCAAAGTTCCTAATCATCTCAAACTGCCAGAGTAGCTTCTACCACTTGTTGATGAAGTTAGAAAATCATTGTAAATCTGAAATGTATTTGGAAAAAAGAATGTTGTATATTAGCAGAACTTGCATAGAGGAATTATATCTGTAAGAGAAATATATCAAGAATAAAAGAAAGATTTCAAATTAACTTTCATACTGTTGCATAGAGGAATTATATCCTTTTTGCATAGAGCATTCATCTAATTAACTTTCTTACTGTTGTTTCTGTTATTCCAATTATAAAGATTTCAAATTGTTTAACACATTCCTAGTTTCATCACTTTGTGGATGAGGTGATGGCTTTTGCATTAGCTGCATATTGATTCCATACATTATGGTTTCTATCTTGACTACCACTTGTTCTGTTCCATATAAAGTAGTTATGTTTACAGCTCTTCTTGATACATATATGGTAAGATGCTTTTCTTGTTTAGTAGATTGCAAAGGCAAAGAAAAATTGATGACCTTAATGGGCAGGACCACAGGGTTATGCATTTGTATTATTTAATTTAAGAGGCAAAACCTTTACAGTAAAATATAAATGAACAGAATATTGTTCTCTGCTCGATAATCTGGATTTCTAAGAAACTAGTTATTTGATTATTTTACCTAGAGAGCACATTATGAAGATTCTGTCCTTTTTATTCACATTATTATTTGGAAATATTTCCTGGGTATTTTTTTTTTGGTGCTGATATGATGGACTGACTCGCTGTACTAGGAAGCAGTGAGATGTGCAGATGTTAAAGGGGAGAAAGACGGTTCAGCCCAGGGTCAGAATTTGTAGGCCCTAAGTACTGTTGGGGTAGGTGCCAGCTTGGAATTGATGCCAATTCACGGGCGGGCGTTGGTGCATAGAGTGTGGGTTGTTGACATTTTGAATGTTTATAGCTCTGTAGTGGAAATCAGAAATCTGCATTGGGCCTGTCCATACTTTTCCGGATGTTAAAGAGATTGCTGATACCATCAAAGAACGAGGAAGTTGTTATAATTCATAAACTGTAAAAAGGGAAACCGACCATTCCAACCCATGTTTAAAAAATTTGGAATCAATTTTAACAGTAGATGACCTTCAAACTCAGGAACTACAGGGAGGATTTATCATGGGGTGTGTTGCTACATAACTCATATTCTTTCTTTTTTTTTTTCATTAGTTGCATGATCTGTGAGTAATCTATAATTATTAAGAGAAAACCTATACCATTAGAAGTTTGTTTTTAAACCAATGATGCATAATGGTAGTCTTATCATTTTGAACAAATTTTCTTGTGCAAATCCTCATGAGTTATAGGTCTTTTAGAGAGAAGCCACCTATTTAGATCCTGCATAAACATTTCTAAGTAATGTAATGACCTTGAGAGAAGTAGAGGCAAGCCTCCTATGAACTTAGTTGTATGCTGGATGCCACCCTGATTGAGCCTCCTCTCTTCGAAGTCTGGCCTGTTTGTACATATTAAACCCAACTCTTTGATTATATCAATCAGTGTTTTGCATTTAATTTGCTTTGATTTATGCCAAATTATCTATAAGAAAGTATTCATGCTGGAATAGATATTAAAGTTAGTTTGATACTATGAATATGATATTTTTTTACGTTTGAGACGAATGGCAACTTATTTGTTCTTCAAGTTGATCTTCTGACTTGCTTAATGGTTATTCCAGGAGGGCTTGCAGAGATTATGATGTTCCAGAGCCTTCTTTTGGGTGGAAGATCAGAGGTATATGACCAATACAGGGATTGGCGGCTTGATGTTGATAATATGACATATGAGTAATTGCTTGAACTGGGAGATAAAATTGGATATGTAAATACTGGTTTAAGAGAAGATGAGACATTCCATTGCTGCAGAAAAATTAAGCACTCCTTTATGGAGGATCTGCAATCGCATATTCCCACTAAAACAGATTGGAAATGTAGCATTTGTCAAGAAGAATATGTAGTTGATGATGAGGTGGGAAAGCTGGACTGTAGCCACAGTTATCACCTATTTTGTGTAAAGCAATGGCTTCTGCAGAAGAATGCTTGCCCTGTCTGCAAGGCTGTTGTAGCAGCTCAATACTAAGATTGGAAATCATTCAAGAATATGATGCTGATAATGAGATGGGAAAGCTGGATTGTAGCCAGAGCTGTCACATGTTTTTTTTGAACCAGTGGCTTCTGGAGTGCTTGCCCAGCAGCCATGCTGCCAAGTGCCAGCTCAATATTAAGATTGACTTCATTTGAACCTCAGTGTCTGCCAATGGGTATTGGATCAGTGTTTCTCCTTTATTGCTTTTTGTACAGCTTTCGACTGAAATAAGCATGCATCCAATCTTTGTTGGGTAATTCCTCTACCCGTTTGTCTAATATAATATATTAGGTTTTTGTGGGAGCCACAAACACTTGAAAGTTTGCGGCTGTTGTCATCACCATTTCATGGGCAACATTTACATTTCATTCAGTAGTTTTGGTTCCTGTGAGATGAAAATACTTTTAATACAGTCAAAAGTTACCATTCAAAAAAAAATAGTTATATTTAATTTATTTATCATTTTGATTCTTCTGTCTAATGTTAATAGAACTCACATATATATGGAGGTGAAACAAGGATCTACTGCAATGACAAAAGCTGAGCAGTCGCAGGATTAATTTCAGTGATACTGATGAGACTGCATCAAGACAGATGATGATGAAAGAATCTATCCCCAAATCCTCAAATAAAGCCAGCAGCAAAAGTAAGAGCATAATTGGACTGGTAGATGGTGAACCTGAGGATGGAAATAAAACAGGAAAGAAGAGAAACCTTGGAATAAAAATGGAATCACCAAACCTGCATCAAGTGTTCAGTTAATTATAATGCTTCCACTACTACTTACTATTTTCCTTTTTATTTCTTTGCCAATGGAGATACTTTCTGGGAGCCAATTTGCACTGAAAATTGCATTCAACACCGGATGGGAATGCTGTAGATGACTTCCCTTCATCTTATGAGTAGGATAAAAAGTCCTGCAGTTGGAAGAAAATTGAGACAGTACCTACTCTGCCCATATTTCTGAAGGTAATGTTTAATACTATACTAGAGATGGGTTTCTTTAGCTGAAAATTTTCAAGTTTTCACAAATTCTGTAGCTCTAGGGTGTAATAAGAAATGGTTTAACTTCCATGGTTGTTGTCTGCAGTTCCAGGATGTCAAATACAAGGTAGTTATGAACAAGAGAAGAAGCCCAGATGCTCAGAAGTACATACTCTATGGGATTACAAGTTCAGTACAACCGGGTTCGTGCAATAACATTCAGTACAACCGGGTTCGTGCAATAACTCTATGAGTCTAGAGTTCATCCAATAAGTGAAGCTGAAGATGTTGAAATGACAAACAATGTAAATGAATCACAAATAACATCAAGGATTCAAAACTAGGAAGTTTATATCATGATTGATCTAATCCTTGTTATATATTTGATGGAAAGATTGCCTTGGTTGATCAATATGTGGCTAGCTTTTTGTACAAGCGCAGTTGGAGGATGTGGCCTTGTAATAGACTAACAGTAATATGTGTGCAATGTAAAGTGTGAACACTCTTTAATGATTGTATTGAATTCTTGATTAGAATTGCAAATCGGATTTTAGATTATTAGAATTGATTGTATTGAATTCTTGTTTCAGGTTTCAGTTTTATAATTAATGAAATTCTTTTTTTTTATAAAAAAATTCAATATGCCACCATGCAATTCTTTTTTTTTATAAGCAGGTGTCGACTGATATTATTATTATTTAAAAATTAACAAAATCTATGCCGGCAGTCATAGAAACCACCACATTTGACATATCATTACACTTAAGCCGGCAGTTAATATATTTATGGCGGCGGTTTAATTAGATGACAATTTATTCTAARCTGGCGGTTAAAAGTGTCAGTTTTGATTACATGGTTTACCTAAGGTGGCGGTTTATTAAAATAACAAATGGCTCTAAGCCGGTGGTTATGACTACCGGCTCAATAACTAGGCCACAATCACGCTGTCGTCTTAATATACCCTGCCCTGGCGGTTTTGGACCGCCACCATACATTCTATAGGTCAATGGCTCTATAAACACCGCCGGCTTATGAATGGTTGGACTGGGTCTCTAGGACGGCAGTCATTGTCTTTTAGGCCGACGTTCATGACCTAGGGCGATGCAATTATAGGTGGTGGTCAATAAACCGCCGGCTTAGGTCTATGCTGGCAGTTTATAAGTCTATGCCGGCAGTTTATAAGTCTATGCCGGCGGTTCAGCTAGCGCCAGCTTAGCCGGTTTTTCTTATAGTCTGGTCCCTAAGTAAACTATAACATGAAAGAACATAAAAAATTAAAATGTTTTCTACTAAGGATGCCTCATCCTCTGTACATGCACATCTCACTCCAGTAGATAAAAAATTGAAAAAGAAACCTTATTGCAATATAGGTTGGAGCATTGACAAACAACAACATCATGGATGATTAAATCTCCCGCAAATTATCAACTTAGGTAGAATCATCAAAATGGAAATAATCTGAAAAATTAATGGAAACTTTTAAGAGCAAACCAATGGTTATTTTACCCCATTACAATAGTGAAGTATATGGGAATTAGGAAAGACATGCTACTGTTCCAACATGCATTGGAAAGATTTAAGAGCAAACCATTGAAGGCCTAGGTGGTCGGGAATCAAAATCAGCTACATATATCCATTTTTTCACGCTATTACAATGTGAATAAAAATAACATAGAAGATGGGTCCAAAATAACATTCACAAAACAGAAAAAATAAATAATTGGATTTTGAGGGAACAGAACAAGGACAACTGGGTTTTTGGAGGAACACCTTAGCAGCACCGGGTTGGTCCTTCACCGTCAACTTTGAGCTTCGTGAAACCTCCAACCTATTCCTGAAACAAAAGAAAAAAATTTCAGTTGGCTCGAAAACATCATTGGACGGGGGAGCCGCCCGCCATGGTTTGCAGCGGTGGTTCACCCTGTTCCAGTTCTAAAAAATAAGAAAAATAAACAAAAGTAACACTTGGAATCCACCCGCCGGCAGTCATTAGCAGCGGCGGGTGGTTCCTCTACAATAGATTTGAGGGAAACGATGGAAGAACCTACCGGGTAGCAACGGTGGCCTCCTATCTTCTATTCTTCTCTGAGAAAAGTTGCAGGTAAGCTTGGTTTGGGTTTTGGCCAGGGATTTTGCATATATGAACATGGGGAGGGTGAAATGCGATTCACCTAATTGGGAGAGTGACGGTTTAGCCCAGGTCAGAATTCATAGGCCTAAAGTACAGTTGGGGTTGCTGTCAGATCGGAATTGATGCCAATTCATAGGCGGGCATTGATGTATAGGGTGGGAGTAATTGACATTTCCAAATATTGTAGATCTGCAGAGGAAATCAGAATTCTACAATGAATCTATCTGTACTTCTCCATTTTTTTTGGTGTTTGGTTGGGCGTTTTAAGGGCATTTCGAGGGTCTTCGAAACTGTGGGCGTTTATTCAATAAACTCTACCACATAGGTGCCACTTCAGCGATTCTCCTCTTATGTTCTTCCATATGTATCGCGAATAGCAAAAAGTGACTTTGGTTTCTATACATGCTTACCGTTTGGGGGAGTTAATTTTTAAAGCTTCTTCAAATGGTTAGGCATTTTTTCACTTTTATGCTGATGTGGTGACTAGTGGCCTATTTGTCATAAACAGTTGTAATTATTACCTTTCTCAGTTTTGCAAACAAATAAAGTACAAATGTTGAATAAAAAAACGTAAACGGAATCAAACAAATACTTCAATGTTTGTTGCCTATTTGTTTGGTTGGGCGTTTTATGGGCACCAATAAGTATGCCCATAAAATTGTATTCCATCTCAGTTTAATGTTTGTTGCTTTACACATGAGAATTCTATATGATGATAATGGTAGTTATAATGTATCCAAGATTTTCTACAAAATTCATGTATTTTTTATTTTTTCATATTTTTTTTTTGTTTCTTGCTATTAATCGGATGTAGATTGCAAAATCAGAATCTAATTATGTAGCAACTTATATTAGGCTGCAAAGTTTTGGGTATCATTGAAAGCCTACCTACTTGGTGGCCTTCTTTTTTGTAATGTTTTATCTTATTAGGGTATTTTTTTTTGTTTATTTATCAAAAAAAATGTATGATTTAAAGAGAGGGAATTGAATGAGGTGAAAATTATTGTTCAAACTACATTTTAAACCTCGCAATTATATAGGGATTAAATTTGAAAGATGGGTAATTTAATCAAAAGAAATCTCCACAATCTTATTCAAATTTTTAATAGTGGTGTAAATATGGAATTATATATGTGTTCAATTTTTTCTATTTTTTTATTTCTCTCTGTGTAAAAATAATACTGTTATGTATACTTATTTTTTGTTTAATATGATAAATATATGATATTGTACATGTGCCCAAATGTTTTTTTTTTGTAAAATTTACATATTTTTTCATTTTTGTGTTTTGTATATTTTATTAATTTTTATTATTTAATTATGACATTAAAGGTTGACATGTTTGACCCAAAAGTTCAATTATTAATCTCCACTAAAAAGGAAAATAATTTCATTTTTGGCTAGTTTTAGATTATGTATTTCATTTCCATCACCAATAAAAATAATTCTTGTTTACTACACTTATTTTTTAATTTGATTAATAAAAATATCATAAATATGTCTATTTTTCTACATTTTTGTAGTTTTCTATATTTATTTATATTTATAAATTTTATTATCTAACTATGATTTCATGGATTGACCAATTTGATTAGGATGGTTGAATTTCTTAGTCATCACTTGGGTAAAGAATGACTTTGTTTTGAGTAAATTTTAAAATATATGGGTATATATTATTAAAAGTATTGGATATAGATTTAATTAGTAGCATTTATTAGTGAAAAAATAACTTAAATATAGAATTCAATAAGAGAGAATGTGAGTTAATACCTTAAATATAAGAATTAATGAGAGGATTAAATGAGGTGAAAAGCATTAATTGAAATTATATTTTCAGCCTTCATAATTAGAGATGTACTAAATAACAAATGTAGGTATTTTAGTCAAAAAAAATTTCACACCCTCATTTGTACTTTTTATAATTGTATAGATTTTAAGTAACATCTTCATAAAACTATCTTGCACCTCACATTACAAAGTTCCAAGTAAGCATTTTATTTTAATAAACTTGGGTGTTGGGACTCGGGAGAAAGGAGAATTTAAAGTTTCTCCAATGGAATTCAAATCAGCCCCCACAAGATAGTTTCCCACAACATCTCACAACACATCCCCGTCGTGTATTGGGAACACCTCCCCATGATAGTATCAGAAATACACGGTAGGGATGTGCTGTGGGACGTTGTGGGAAACTATCTTGTGGGGGGCTGATTTCAACTCTCTCCAATGCCTCAAGTATATAAATCCATACATAGCCATTTATATTTGTTTGGTTTCATGGAAGTTTATAGATGGGGTGTTTCAAGTAACACAAGCTATCTTCCACTTCAGCTTACAATACTCCATGTCAGCATTGTATTTCAATAAACATTGATTCGTTGGGAGAAACTGTTAAAGAATGCATATAATTTCAAGTGTTTCTAGGTTTTAATGTTTATTTGATAAATATTGAAAATTGAAACCAAATAATTGTTTCATGCACAATAAATGTCAACCCTAAACCTAAGTGGTGGTAAGGTGGTGGTGTTTTTCTAATAAATGACTATAGAATCAAACGTCAAGGTTTTTAAAATTGAATCGGACAACAAACCGGTTAGGGGTTCGGCTCCAAGGTCGAACGGTCAATCGTTTGAACGGAACGAACAAACAACCCGTTTTGACAAAAAAAAATAAAAAATAAAAAGAGCCAAAACAGTTGGATGGTTTAAATGGTTCAAACGGTTTGACCGCTTGGGTTAGGGGTGATCATTTCAGCTCGGCCCGGGCTGACCCGCACAAGCCCAACTCGAAAATTCCAAGCTTGGGCCTAGGTTTTGTGTTCAGGCTTGGCCCGTGCCCACATCAGGCCCGCAATTTTTAGGGCCGGGGTTGGGCTTAATACTTCAAGCCCAACCCAGGCCTGGCCCGACCCGTATATATTTAAACTTACACATTTTGTGTATAATGTATACATATGTATACATGTTATTTTACATTAGATTATATATTTTATATATAAATATTATAACATGACATGTATAATTTATATTATATGTAATATTTTATATTATATAATGTATAAAATAAGTTTATATGCATGTTATGTCATTTAATATATAGATATATAATATTTTATATTATATAATGTATAAAATAAGTTTATATGCATGTTATGCCATTTAATATAAAATATTATAGATATGTAATGTTTTATATATGAAAGACATTGACCCAAAATCAGGCCCGGTTTGGCCCAGGCCCTATAGACCTGGGCTAAGGCTTATGTTTCAGATTTGGAACCCCGAGCCAAGTTGGGCCCAGCCCTAAGTTATAACCCTTATCATAAGTGCAAAGCCCAGCCCGGCCCGACCCATGATCACCCCCAGCCTAGGTCAGTGGTTTGCTAACCAAATCAACGGTTTTTGGCGAAATAACAGTTTTGGGGTAAAATGGAACCGGTTACTTGACTGGTTCCTAGTTTTTCCGATCTGACTGTCCAGTCCGGTTTTGAAGACCATGCCAAACATAGCCAATCTCACCTCCACATCGGATACCCTATCAGCATTTGTTGAACACAACAGTCGAGAATTTGGAGAAACGTCCAGAACTAGAAGGGGCGATTTCATTGATCGTTGCCCCAATGTTTTTCAGAAAACGGCACACCAAACAGCAGATTCAACCGTTTAAGGTGATCCAATGACGTGGCTCCGACGTGGCGCCAGCACCATAGAAATATAACTGAATTCTCCATATTCGCGGGAAAAATAACTGAACTTCTCACGAAGGACAAAACCCATGTTGACTGGTTCTCATCCGTTTCTAACGCGCCAAACACCCGGAACAGCACACCGCCGGTCTCCGCCATCTCCATCTCGCCGGTTTGCTAGTAGCGTTACCGCCGGTACGGAGGCTAGGTGTGGTTCCCAGTTCCCATTTCCCTTCTTTCTCATCTGGAAATGGGGAAGGGACCCCGATCAGATCTAGAGGCGGCGACCTATCCTGATCGAGCCCCGCAGTACTTCTACCCGCCCCAGCCAAAGCCATGGTTCCCCTGGCTCGTGCCCACAATCTTCATCGTAGATGTGGCTTTGTTTGCGTACACCATGTATGTCAACGACTGCCCGTCCACAACCGGCATCGATCTCTGTGTTTTCCCTTCTCTCGGAAGGTTCTCATTCCAGCCGCTCTCTCAGAACCCCCTCTTTGGCCCTTCTACCACAACGTAAGCCCATCTCTCTGTTATCAGTTCTTTCAATTCTCCACCCCCTCCCCCTTTACCCATTACTCCAATAAGGGCATTTGTTTATCTTTATTTCTTCATGATTCAATTTTTTTTTCACGGCAATTTTCTCTGTGTACATGTCACATGGATCATCCTCTATTTAATTATGTTCTTGTTCTTGGTGGTTGGAAGTTTACTTTATTTCATTTTTTTCCTGTGGTTATCTTTTTTATATTCTTCTTGCTTCTGTTATATAAAAACACTGAAATGTTGACACTGAATGTTGAGAGACCAGTGCATTTATTTGCTAAAAGGAATTCAGTTCGATTCTCTAGAACATTCAATGTTCTTCCTAAATTTTCTTAAATGAGATATATAATGTTTTGGACTTTGGGTATATAATGCACATACATTTTATTTTAGATGTACCTCTGGACCTTTAGCAATATTGCCAGCAGTTGTTTCTTCCTAGATGCAACTCTGCTTAATGTTGTATGCATCTTTTTTTCTAATTACAAATTACCCACTTGCATCATGGTGGAGTCATTTAGACAAGAAAACTGAATAGCCTAGGCCCCATGGTTTCCCCTCTCCATTTTCTATTCATGACTTAATTGGACAAATTTGATGAGTTAAAAATGAACTCTTTTCTGTGAGCAAACTTTTGATTGAAAAAGAAAAAAAGAAAAAAAAAAGTATTGATGATATCATTGGGGTAATGGTCCAATACCAAGTGGAGTATGGGGCTGATGGGGACAAGAGGAGTGAATACATGGCAAGAGAGTTCCTTGTCTGTCTGGATTTGGAAAAATTATGGCTTCGTGTGGCAGAAACAGGTGGATTGTCTAGACAAGAATCCAAATTAAGCAGATTAGGCTACTTTTCCCAATATTTATAAATTATAATAATTGAAATGAAATTCATACTTGATGCCTTCAGTTTAGAATCTTTCTTCATCTATTCACATCATAACTTTTTTATGACAATTCTAAGAGGAAAATTATACAAGGATAAATATATTTCTTTATTTGCAATAGTAAACTTATTAAACCAATTCTCTAATGAAGAAGCAGTGGGTGAGTTACCATTCCAATTGGACTCGTAATCCTTATCCAATTGAAGCTGTTTCTTGGGCATGGTTTAGGATCTGCTCTAATATTGAGGACTATACATTAAACTTTGGGATATAAAGAGGAAAAAATTCACATGAAGTCATCTATTTATCAGTCAAATCCATCCACTTTTAGCTACCAGTTAGAAACAACTACAAATGGGAGTTATATCCTACTGCTCTTTTTTTTTGCAGGCTAGAACTAATGGGAGCCCTTGAGTGGAGACTAGTGGTGAAGAAGGGTGAATGGTGGCGCCTCTTCTCTTGCATATGGCTTCATGCTGGAGCCATCCATCTAATTGCTAATATGATGAGCCTTCTATTTATAGGTGTCCGTCTTGAACAAGAATTTGGATTTTGTAAGAACTGTATGCCAAAATGCAAACACAAATTTTGATCCTTTCTAGAGTTGTTCTTTTTTTTTTTAATTTTCACCCTTTTTTATGCGTGGGGCATCGAGTTAATTTTTCAAAACAAAAAAAGAAATCTGAGATATGTTAAGTAATATTTACTATTCCACTTTTCAGTGAAAATAGGACTACTGTATGTTCTTTCGGGCTTTGGTGGGAGCTTATTATCTTCCCTTAATCTTCAGTCAGCCATGTCAGTTGGTGCTTCGGGTGCACTTTTTGGGATGCTAGGTGCCATGCTTTCTGAGCTTTTAACAAATTGGACAATCTATTCAAATAAGGTCCCTTCTAACTATATCTTCTTTTGTAAAATATGTGAGCAATTTACCCATCAAGGTTGAGTGACTTTATAATCAGATATATTTGTAAATCAATCACTTTTAGTTTTACAAGAATCTAGCTGACTGAAATCTTTTGAAATTTTGTATGAACAAGGTCAGTCAACTCAACAATAAGACAACAAAGTTATGCAATTGTTTATTATATTGGTACCAAACAAAAAAAAAAAAATTTATTGAATGGGAAAATGTTGCTTTGATCTTAAAACATTTTAGATAGAACTCGTGACTTACAGATCTCCAAGTTGACTTACCTTAGTTAAGTTCAGAACATGTTGTGCCACATTTGTTCAGCTGTTTTAAACTTATTCTGGTTTTGTAAAATGGTTTTTGTTTTTTTTATGCAGTGTACATCACTTTTTAACCTCTTATTCATTATCGGCCTTAATTTGGTCGTGGGTCTTCTTCCTAACGTGGACAGTTCTGCTCATATTGGAGGATTCCTTTCAGGATTTTTCCTTGGATTTATTCTTCTCATTCGTCCTCAGTTTGGATGGGTTAGCCGGAAGCACATTCCCCCAGGATATGACATGAGACATCTGAAACCAAAACACAAGTGTTATCAATATCTATTATGGATTGTGTCTTTTGTTGTTTTAACTATTGGGTGAGTCATTGAAATAGTGTTATCCTGATTATTATCTATGAATTGGCAATCTAGGCTCTAAGCTCTCTGATCAAATTGGGACTTGAACTTTTGCAGATACATAGGTGGCTTGCTTAAGCTGTATGGTGTGGAGCCATCCAAACACTGATACTGTATTCTCCTATAAACCATCTGTTGCTTTCTTAATACTCTTCCCTATTCTTTGAGCATTAAGATCATAAGATGGCATGTCAGCAGCAACCATTTCCATCTTTTCCTTACACCTTGCTCTTTAAAGCTTATGCATTAATTTCTGTCAAGGCATGTTCTCTATTTGAAAAAGGTGAGGGTAAGGGAGAAAATGTCCCTGAAGCTTCTATCATTCCCTCTATATCAAGGGTGAAGCAACAATGAGAAGACGGTTGGACGCTTGACTTAATGAAATCCATCCAGCTCACAGAAATAGTTGAACATGAATTCCCTAGTACATCTTAGGGGACCATGTGAATTGTGAAAAGTAATTAATTATATGTAAGTACAATTTGTTCAAAAGTTTGTTTGTATACTAGAAAAATCTGTAGACCATTACATGTTGGAGCTGATAATGAAGAAATAAAACTAACCCCTTTCAAGGGAGAGGTAGGCTTTTCCACTGAAGCAACTACTCAAATTCTGTATGAGATATGTTTGCTTACAAATTTGTACACTTTTTTCACCTTACTGATCAATTCTAGAATGGAGGAATGTTGATAGGCAATGCTTTTGTTTAGGTGCTTCATGCAGGCTATTTTATTAGAACCTACACCTCTTTAAGCAGAGAAGGTATCCAACAATCCGGAGCTTCATGCAACTCATTAAATAATCATTTATCAAGGTGGTGGTTGTTATACAAGATTAGGATTGAGGATGATGGAAAGCAGGTTCGTCTTCCATTTCCTTTACAATGTGTGGGAAAAAGGCCTTACTCAATATCAAGACAGAAATGGTGGAACATTTTACTACTTTTAGGGGATTGCAATGCCTGTTTCACTACCAAGGTGAGAGGTGACCTGCTTTTTGTGGTCAAAGATCTAGGTGTCTTCACTTGGTAAGTTATTAACATATAGTAGTTGTTTTTTCTTTCCTCTATTGTGTTCTTTCATGTCTGAAATATCTCTGATGTCCACCTGAAAGTAGAAGCAAACACCAGTGATGACCAATGGATTTTCACCACTTTTGGGATTATTCTTGGTCAAATAGTTCCAGTCAACACAGTTGCTTCTCCCTTGGCATTTTTTTTAGTTTTATTATTTTCAAAGGAGGCGAGGACAAAAAAAGGCATCTTTTTTTTCACCAATAAATTGCCTAAAGGCCACAATTTTCAAATACATTCAACCAAGTGGTTGTCATAGTACATTCACGTTTGATGTTGCTCAATCCTATGAAAGACCAGATTTCTCAGATAAATCAATCACTAAAGACAAGTTACTGCTAATACACCTATATATGCACAAATGAAAGATGGGGTCTGTTTATGGTCTTTCTCTCACCTACCACCATGTTTATGCTTCTAATCCTATCTAGCTTTTAGAAGCAAGCTCTTTAACTTTATTGATCCTATTTTCTTTTCCTTGATGAGGCTGGTAAGTTTGTGTGCTTGAGTTCTGATGCATCAAACAATTGTATGTGAACATCAACCCTACAACTCAACAATTCAAGGACACCTAGCATCATTTGCCACTCAACAACATAGGAAGGGTTCTATGTAGGCGTCCCCTGCTTGCTTGGCGTGCTATTATCTCTACAACCTTCTCTCTTAGGATATTCAAGGACCCCAAGTCACTGGGTTCTGGCCATAAGATGGAATTTGTTATGGCACAGGACAATGGTCCTTCTCTAGACAATAGCTATGGCACACATCTGAATCTCTTCAATCAGCCAACTGAAGGAAAAGAGTAAAAGGGAAAAAGGTCTTAACAAGCTAACAGTCTTCATGATGCTTAAGCATCAATTCAGTAATAGTTCCAATACATGGAATGGTGGAGACAAGGGACTGAAAATAATGTAAAGGCTGCATTTGGAAGTTTGCAGCTTCTGTGTTGCAAACTATTAATGATCTGTCATGCCAAAAGGGTGATATCAATTGCCATCTTGGAATGTTCCAGAAAAGAAATATAGTTTTTAGCCTGTTCAATGAGACATAAAATGAATTAACTCTGATGTGGTTTTCCTTTATATTTTGGAGAATAATTCCATAATCTATGGAGCCATTGGAATAAGACCACTTCAAGATTTTAGGATATTAACTGATTTCTGTTTTTCTCTGAACAACTGGAAATGAATTCATTTCAGCTGGCAATAATGTGATTTTAAATGTCAATCAAAACTAAGTTCAAATGAATCCATTTTACTTGGCATCAAGAATTGGAGGATGTCATGTTTTCCTTGATAAAAATCAGCCTGATAAGATTGCCCTACCTTACTTCTATTAGGTTCTTATGAAAGATTGCAAGGAAAATAGTGCGAAGGTTCAACATGGAAGTTCATGGAATCTACTATGATCAACCAGTTAGAGTAATTTCTTGATACCAAAAAAAGAAAAAATTGGAGTGATTTCTCATTCCCATTCCCATCTATGAGCATAATTTACCATTATTCCATTCTTATGGAGACCAAACAATGGATAACCATGGTTCAGAGTATTGATATGCACAAAACACAAAAATTTGCATTTTGCACAGTTTTACAGAGTGCAACTTTTTTTTTTTCAGGCTGATATTTCTGGGTTAAGAATGTTCAAGGAGGGGACTTTATATTTGAACACAAAAATACCCCTCAAAATCAATGTAAATAGTGCTTTGGTGGGTTCAAAAACCGATGAATGTATGAACACTGATATGTTGCGATATTTTGAACCTTGTATATAACTAATTATTCTTTCAGTTTATATGCTAAAGAAAGCATTAAGGCATGAACAATGCTTAATGCTTATGGGAAGGAAGAAACTCTTTAATCAACTAAGACTAATCCTACTTGTTCTGATTTTGATTCATAAAGGTAAGTCAAACCCCTTTTATTAATTGGTTAGGCTTTCATTATCTGGATCAGGTAGAAATCATAGAATGAATGACCCATCTTTGAGTTGACAGAATTTTAATACATCAGATTGAACTTTCTTACAGTTTTACCCACCATTTAGGTGGCTCTATCCATCAATTTGCACTTGAGCTAGGCACTTAAATGAATGAGCTTGACACTGATGACAACCACGTCGGAATTGACACCACAAGTTAAACCTACAGTGCTACCACTAGCCACAATAGCAGTAATGTTGACCTCAAGCTTGGCAGAAAAGTGAAGGTTAAGATGACTATGATGTCTGGAGAAAGTAACATCCAATACAAAGTCTAAGACTTTCTATTTGGGCTTCACTGCCTTGACTAGAGCTATGTGGGAAATCCATTGATTTTTCACTTCAGCTCCTTTGCAAGAACTCTTTTAATGGTCCTTAGAGCTGCATTAATATTAAACTGATCCCGACCATCATTTTAACAGTCGATATGGCATTAAATAGAACGGATTAGTTAAACAGGATTCATGTAGCCGACCCCATATAGTCAGGAACGTATGGATGATGACAATGATATCATTTCTTTAGTTACAAGAGGCATCCTGATTTTCATGACATGCACTGCAGTTGATTGGAAAGCATGTGGTTGCAAAAGCGAGAAAGATAGCTGCTGATGCTGCAAAAATATTCACTCTGAAGCAGAAAAGATTTGTATACGTCTTAACTTGAAATAAAAAATATTCACTATGAAACGCGAATTTGATCCTGCTTTTTCACATTGGAGGTAGACCTGTTTACGGGATGGGCTTTGGGCCCAATTTTACACTGTCTCAGGTTCGGGCTTCGGACCGGACCCATTAGAATTTTGACAAAAATCAAGCTTGAGCCCGGCCCATGAACAGGTCTAATTGGAGGGACATCAAGTGACCATCTCAGCTACTGGGTCATCGCCAAAATCATATTTTCACGTGCAATGCAGTTTGAAAATAAAGAATAGAAAATTTAAATAAGAAAAATAAAAAAAAAGGAATGCAAAAGATGTAATAACAGAAAGGAAGAAAGTAAAATAGTAGAGGAAACTTGAAAAGCAAAAAAAAAAAAAAAGAAAAAGAAAAAGCAGTAAAACAAAAAGAAAAAAATGAAAAGGCATGCAAGCAAGAAAACAACAATTCTCTTGTCCAAACTTGTACGATTCATCATTGATCTCATTTGACACCTTGGTGATCTATATCAACAAAATTAAAAAAAAAAAAGTCCATTACCATACAAACACCTATAAATAGATCAGACATCTTTTTGAGTCATTCTCAGAAGTCAGATCACTCAAAATTAATAAGACACCTGATACCCTAAGTTTAGAGCATATTC